GTGCTCCGAGCAGTGTCATTGGTGCCCACATGAATAAGGAGCATGGGATAGTGGTCTGTGGGTTTAAGGAGCTTTGGGATCCTCTCCGTAATGTCCCGGATGCGGGCCCCTGGGAAGCAGCAGACTTGCCGGGCTAAGGGGTCGGGGTGGCAGATTGGCCCCTCATCTGTTACATGCACACACCCCACCACACATGCACCCACACCCCCCTAGCCACCTATCCTCTCCACACACCTCACAGCCCCCCACAAACCCCATACCCACCCACCCATACCTTCCACCTACACCTACCCCATCTACACCTACCTCCCCCCCAATATACGAGAGTAAAACTTCATTTTGAGCTTTTATGCAATCACCTCTATATACACAATGCAAATGCACACAAATCAGGACAAAAATATATTTTTAAATTAAATAATGCTATATTATTGTGGATGTGTGATTTTTAGTATATAACTTGTTGTTTTTTTCTGGTTCCAAGATCACAAACCGCCTTCCCAAAAGGAGTACTTCTGGGGGCAAGGGGAGGGACTTTTTGTGGCAAGAGTCAGGAGTCCCAAGATGGTGACCAGGGGGTTGGGCGCCTGTCAAGGAGCGGGGCCACCCTTGCAGCCCTTGACAGCTCACCAAAACTCATTAAGTGACCTTCCAGTTGAAATAATTGCCCACCCTGCTCTAAGGCAACTTTTCTGGTGTTCTGGAGAAATTATTCTACCCTGAAATCTGAATAGATGACGCATGGCTGTTTGTTCACATCTTCACCTAACTATACTGTCTTCATGTAGAAATAGTCTAAACAGGAGAACTTTTATTCATTCTTTATTCTTCAATATTTCACTTTTAAGAACTTCTCAATACTCTGTAGGGATTTGTTACTGCTAGTCAGTCTCCCAAGAAGCTATTACTGAAGAAGGGAAAGATACTCAGCTGTGAATGGTATCAAAGGTACATTGCAGCTGCAGCACTGCACTCACTTATTCACCTTTACCACATATATGTCCTTAAATGGCATTTTGAATAGTAGAAAGGGAATTAGGGCAGTAGCACCAGCAGCACTTCCAACTGATACTGCTTTTACAGGTGAATGCAGTTTTTCAGTGCTGTGGTACATTCCTTTGTAGCTATTCAAGGGTAAGAAATCAGTATACTTGGAGAGCACTAATGACAGATGAATAACTTTCCTTCTATTTTCCTGGTAGTACCTGAATGTTTAAAGCCTAGTAGCAATAGAAATACTGTAGTTAATGTAATATATACCTTCTAGTTAGGTCTTTTTGATTGTATGAATAAACTGACAAGAAATTAGAATAACCTTTATTTTCACAGACAATGACATTGAAAATCATGGTTCACAATCAGTATGAAAAAAATCACCTATAGTATGGCTTGGAAGGTGCTTCAAAACAAACATGTATAATCACAGTGTTATAAAATATAAGATGTCATCATATTTATGGTTTCTGAAATTGACAAAGTGTTCTCACATTTTTCTAATAATACAAATTGAATCTAGCCCACAAATATTTAGTGCCTAGTATTTGTAAGACCGTCATGTCCGATCTGAAAAATGCCTCATTTTTGTCCCCTTTCTTTCATTTTAGATATTTGTTTAAAAGAGACTCTGTCATTGGCTGATAGCCTATACAATCTACAGCTAATTCAAGAATTTTGTCAGGAGTACCTTAACCAGTGCTGCCACTTCACTCTCGAGGATATGTTATATGCTGCTTCTTCAGTAAAGGTAAAAAACCAGTGTAATTTCCACATGTCTATTTTATTAATGCTTACTGTATTTACTCATCTGCAAGACAAAGTCGTGTTTCCCCTCCCCCCACTCCCCCCCCATCAGCATGAGGAAAAAAGCCCCTCGTCTTATATTCGCATATGAAGCAGAGGCTGGAGTAGGCCAGAGTCAGACCCACAGAAACCTCTTGGCCTTCCCTCCCTGCTTTTGGCCCCCTACCCACCTCCTTCCTTCACTCTTACTGTCAAGCACAGCTCGGCTCCAGCTTGGGCTGGGGTCTTTCCTAGGCACAGAACGCATGGAAACTCCTTCCCCTACTGAGCGAATCAGAAGTGCTGATACTGGTGCATTGCCTGCCTGGACAGTCAACAGCTCGGACACTGCTGCATGGCTAGGCAAGGGCTGAACTTCCATGTGCTGTGCTCCAAGATGGAGCAGCCCAAGCAGTGTCTGATAGTAAGGGGGGAAGGGTGGGAGAGGTGGAGACTGGGGGAAGCTGGGGTGAGGGGAGAGAAAAGGAAGAAGCTGTGGGGAGCTAGTGTTGGTGGGGGGGTCAGGTGGCAGCATGTGCAGGAAGGCTGCAGAGAGAAGTGGGAAGGGCAGATGGCAAAGAGACCACTTGATCTGCCCCCAGCTATTGTTTTCCCTGCTGTAGTAGTGGGAGATGGGGGTAGAAAAAATTTAAGACAGCCCTCCAATACTTAGATTCTATACCTGGAAAATTATAGCAAATTTATCAAGTTTCCATATATAGAATCTAGTTATTGCAGGGTCATCTTATATTTGGGGACATCTTATATTTACGTTATACAGTTTGTGTTTTTTACTGCTTTTCAGTCTTGTTGCTATGTGGCTCATTGCAACCTCGCTAGAGGTTGTACTGGTATAACTGTGCTGGTAGCAGTTAGATTTCTGCACCTTGTGTGATGTGCATCCACCCTTCTCCCTCTTTCTTACAGAGTTAATTAACCTAGCCCCAGAGGGTATGCTCACGGCAAACCCTCACGCTTAGAGAAGCTATGCCTGCTTTATGCACTTGCTCCCAACTTCTGGGAGTAGTTTTGTCACAGTAGGGCAGTGCTGCAATCAAAATTAGTAGCTCACCTGAGAAGCAGAGCTGATTGTACTGCAGAGTGCCATGCAAACACTGCAATATTGTTTCTGGTTTGGGAATGAATACAGTTGTGTCCCCTAGTAGACTCTTTGCCACTGTACTGCTATTGCTCTGACTGTTGGTACCTGAGACCCTTAAGCTACATAGGGGCACAGCTACATGAGAAAGTTTACTCTGAGGCAATTAACACTGTATTAGCTCTTCTGTCAACTGCCTGTATGAGTGCTTTTATTCTGCAGTAAATACAAGGTAGGTTACCCAATCTTAATTTGGTTTTAATCCAGGTTTAGTTTAATTCAACCAGTTTAATCTTAATTTAAGCGTATTACCGTTAAACCAAAATGGGAGCCTTCCCTCGAGATATTTGAACTGATCTAACTAAACTGATTTAGTTAAAGGGGGCAAATTTCCATATAGACAAAATCAAAGAGAAGTAACGTGTATGCAGAATACTGTTTTTGTGTATTTTGTAGCTTTATTTTTTAAAAGCTTCCTCTCAACTTACTAGAGTGGTCTATTCTTTCAGGAGTGTATACATGCCAAGTTTGAACTTTTAAAATTAAACTGTTTTTTAGTTTGTGTGCCAAGAAAAGTCTTGCCAATACTACTATGGCTGAAAAACATTCTCTCAGTTTTCTCAGTCAGGCTTGGCTGACTCAAATGTTTTAGCAAATTTTCTTCAAATTATAAAATGGAAAAGCATACCAGGGCAAAATGTCTTTTTCCAGGAAGTTACTGTATACTTAAAACAGGGAATTGAAATGGAAATTCTGTTCTCACCGCAACTGCAGTGTGGTTAGCACAATATTTTAATAGATACGTTCTGACATGTTCCCTGAGTAAACGTGGGTATTATCCAGAGACTTAATAGAGGTTTCTCGTAGTGTAGCTCTACATTCTTACAGTGTATTTTCATTTTTAACAGAGAATAAAATATTTGCTTCATTTTGGTGGTCTGGTACCTTCATTAAAGGTCAGTTATAGAGAAATGGAGACTAATTACCTGATTTCTTTAAAATGTAACCCTTTTTTTCTGGTTTTCCTTAAGTTTTTTTCACTATTTAAAATACTTTTCCCCCACCTTCTTTAATTCTTGCTTGAGTGCCCGCAAGGAATGATGGACGTGTTCCTTTTATGGAGTCAGCATATCCGTGGCAGATGGAGTATAATCAGTTTTCTAAATAACTAGGTCACCTTCATTGCTGCTTTTTATGATCTCTCAAACAGTTGAGCATCTGAACACTGCCTGCTCTATGCTATGAGCTTTGGGCCCAATTCTTTTCGGATAGTAGTCTCACTGCTTTTAGTGGGGCTGCCTATATAAGTAAATGCTGCTGAATCAGACCCATGATCTCCAGTATCATCAGTTCCTGTGAACTATTTGTTACCTCACATACTGAAACCTCTTAAGTTGCAGGTGACATCCATCTGTTTTAGCAGCATCAATGTGCTTTTGGCATTTTAGGACTTCCACATAACAAAACGGCTCTTGCTGTACTGTAGTAGCTTATATTACGTAAATCAAACAAGGGAGCTGGACAATAGAGTTACAGACTCTGTATCATTTGATTACTCATTTCATCTGGAGTTCATCCCCTTCCGCACATTTTGTTATCTTCTCCCTGCTTTGAAACAAGGATATATGGAATCCATGACTCGTTATGCACATATATGAGAATGAGTAATGCTACTTCTTTAACTTCAGGGGCATGCAACATAATGATTCAACCTAGCATCCACCATGTAGTTTTGAGAACAAATATTTGACTCTCTTAAAAAGTTTCCTTTAGAAATACCCCAGTTAACTTCTCAGATCAAAGGTTATGTTTTTGATATTAGACTTACGAATTTTTCTTGTTTTTCAATAATTTTCCGAGGATGGATTTACAGACTTTAAATAGATTTAGGATATTTGTAGATGAAAAAGCTCATTGTGATTATGCTGTCACAAGCTCTTGTGGCATGGTTACCTATTTAGATGTAAATGATGAACAGACAGGCTGCCAAGTTTTCCTCCTGAACTTTGGCATGGAAACACTAACTAGTGCTTTTAAGCTCTGTTCTGCATGTGTGACTAGGTCATCTTCTTTAAAAATAAATTCACAGCTAGGAAGGGTGCTTCAGAGTTTCCCAGGATATCCATTAGGAGTACCTTCAATTAGAATATGTTCCCCTCTTGAGTTAGTCTTACTTAAAAGGTCATAATGTATGCAGAAAATGTAAATATTACAGAACATATTCAATTGGTAAACAGTACTGAAAATTGTCTTTTCTTCCACATCCTAGAAACATAATTGGAAAAATATCAGATGATCCAGACTAATAAAATTCTCTGAGATAGAGTCAAATGTTTGTAGAAAAATAGATTTTTAGTTGTTAATTTTTGATTGAGTCATCTAGATTTTAGTTTGTTTTTTTTAATCATCTGAACAGGATATATTGTATATGTTTAAAACTAGGACTTACTTTTACAGGGTTTCTGGGGTTTGTTTGGGTTTTTTTGCACACACGTTAATAGTTTCTCCTAGCCTGAGCCTGACTCTCTCCATTTATTTTTTTTTTTGTCCTCGTCTTTAGTTGTATTCCTTGACTGGAAGTGTTTAATATAACATGCCTTCCCCCACAACTGTGAACAATGTGCCACATCTTGCCAGCAGGGAACTGTTTTGCATCATTGCTGCCATAAACACAAGACTGCTGATGACTGGGCTAAAGTATTTCTGCCTGTAGTTTACAAGGAGCTGGAAGCTTTTCCAGTGCTGCAGGGAAACCAATGTATGCTGACTATAACTATATATTTGCTAGCTTATCATTTCAATCCTTTCTGTAAGAAAAACAGCAAAGAAATTTAAAACAAATTATACATGTTAAGGGCAGACTCAAATACTTCCATATAATCAGGGATCCTGGTTTTCTATGTTTAAAAATCCCAAATTCTCTGATTTAGAAAAACCCCAAATCCATATTTTTCCCCCATTTTAAAATGAGAAACCAGTTGAACACAGTTGTATGCCTCAGTTGAACACAATGTTTTATTGATATATTTACAATTTTAAAGCAGTTTGAAAGCCTAACAGTGCCTCAATCACAATAAAATAAATTCTAAATACCTACATATTTTGGCATTTGTTTTTTATTATGGAAAATCAGAGCTCCCCCTGCCCCCTTCACTCAACAGGATACAGGGTCCAGCTGTGGCTGTCCCTGCTGCTACTTTGTGGCACTGAGCAGCTCTGATATGCTGGTGCCCTGCCCATGCTGTTCCTCCTTGCTCCCAAACCACAACCTCCCCAGCCCTGCCAGTGCCCCTCACTCCTGACCCACTGCTCCCTCCCCCTAGGCCCCAGCCCCCCCAGTGTGTGGAAGGGGTGTGTGTGGGCATGGGCAATGTGTCAGGGGATGGGGGGTGAGCACATGTGATGCACTGAGGGGCCACGGGGGCATGTGCCCCCCACCAGATTCCCCACCCAGAGTGGGGCACAGGACTACAGCTGGGCCAGACCAGCTCTGGGCAGGAGCTGCCTCCACAGCCCAGTGGCCAGGACCCAGCGCAGGAGGCAGCGTTGCGCCACCAAGGTGAGGCACAGCAGCAGTGGCAGCATGGAGTTGTGCCCCTTGCTGCTGCCAAGTGGGCAGGCAGTGCCTCATCTTGGTGAACATGGAGATGCAGTGCTCCTTCCTGTGCCAGGTCCCGCCCACTGCAGAGGTAACTTCTGCTTGGAGCTGGCCTTGCCTGGCCTAGCTGCAGCTCCGCACCCCACCGTGGGTGCAGAAATCTGAGGGACACATGCCCCCCATGCATCACCTGTGCCCTCCTCTGCCCCCTCAACACACTGTCTGTGTCCACCTGCCCCCATTAGATTTACCTGGAAGGAGCTGCTCT